GTAGTGCTTGTCTATTTCGGGTTGAAGAGGTTATTTGAATGATTAGTAAATGGAGATGGAGTTTAGTCATTAATAATCAGTGTATTTAGATGCATGACTGTTCTCTGTACATGAACTTATGTGCCAATAAATTTGTGTTTCCCGCATATTATGCATATCATATATATATATATTGATTGTGAGTATATATCTTTGGTTTTTAATGTGGGTAATTGTCTAAGTCATATAACTTTGTATAGTGTATGAACGTACGAATGCATAGTTTTCTTCCCAATGAATAATTAGATCCCTGCTATTCCCTAAATGTGATCAGTTTTCAAGTACTTTATTGGAGTTTATGTACAGATAGTTATATGTTGGTTAAAGGATTTTTGATAAGTAAAATTTACTTGATGCCTAGATATTGGTGTGGTTGAGCTTATTATATATCAATAAAGATGCTGAAATTTTAAGTTGAGTTTAGAGATTTTTAAAGTTCAGTATTTATGCGGCTTTTGTGTTATATTGATTTGTGAAAGAAATGAGTCCAGATCATGTGGTGTTAATGCACGAATTTTGTCATGTGTTTTGGTAGTATGGCTGTTGAACTTTCATGTGTTCCATATGCTGAACTTAAGTGATGTTTCAAAGTCCTAATTTCAGTTTTAAGGCCTTATATGAGTTTCTCCATTTTTGGAAAAGAGAAGTGAAAACAGAGAATGAGGAGAGAGGCAGGCTTGTGTGGTGTTTGATCCTTGCTTTTGCCTTATTTGTTGATGAACTTTTTATGTGATTTTTATCTGTTTAGGTTCGTCTGCATTATGTGCTTTTATTTGCTTAATTGTTTTGACTTAATTATATGCCCTTATCTGCTACTCGTATCCTACGAGGTTTAATTGTGTGTATTTAATTTCGTGGCTCAATCAACCTCAATCAAAACCCTCATTAATAATGATAATTAAATCCCTTAATATGTAGGTGTGTGACGAGTCGAGCCCTCGACCTACATTTCTGATATCGTTGTGCATTTTCTATCTCGATTTCCAGGTGGGTTTTATTTGAAATTGCTATGCCGTAATTAATTATTATTGTTGTAGTATGATCAAAGTATGCGTGTGAACCATGTAGCCTTCGATGTGAGCTATATTGGCCGTCGAACGGTTATCCCCGTAGCTATAGAACGTACCTTCGGGTAGTCTCCTTTATTATTGTTGGCAGTTAGGGCGTGAGCCTTGGCTGGTGATCCTCGTATGTAAGGCCAAGACGTAAGTTTTGGCATTCGGGGTGGATTATTGCTCCTGCTGGCCGGACACTCGTTGTAAGGCCTTAGATAAGGCGTTCGGTATATAGTTCGGCAGTAGTCTATTGCTATAGGTGTGCACATGATACTCATTATTGATTATTGATAGGAGATGGGACGGTTATTGATTCGTATACATGCTGTGACCATACTTAAATTGTTTTCATGATTATTGAATATTAATTATTGCATAGTGGTGAGTATTTGCGGGTTAGTATTTGCGGGCACGACAGAGGGAAGCGAGTGGTGGTCATGTTATCGCTTATTTCCGCTGCTTAAATTGCTTATTTTAAATTATGCATTCCTGACTTATGTTGAATAATGGATTATCGATAGGGAGTGTTCTCCCTAGTATTTGTGGATTTGATGAACCCGGTTTGGGTGTTGACTATTGACGATTATTGAACCCGGTTTGGGTGTTGATTATTTATGATTATTGAACTCGTTGGGAATTACATATGTGATATTGTTGAAATTGTTTTTGAAAAAAGAGTAGCGCCTCAAGTGTTTTGAAATAAATTTTAAAAAAATTTATTCTGAATTTCGACAAATAAAAGTGGGACGTTACAGTTTGGTATCAGAGCCAGTCTGCGTTTCTGTAGACTGGTTAACGTGAATTATGTGATTACATTCTTTGACCTCATATTACGACCACTCGCTCCCGTCGTGCCTCGCCAACTCAGGTATGAATACTTGGGTAATGTTGAATTGTGTATGTGCAGTATTATGATATTATGAGATGTACCGGGGCCAAGGAATTTATCCTCCTACTTTTAAACGTTATGGAACTCTAGATGAGTGGCGAACCTTAGTTGTATGAACTTGAACTCTAGCGATATAGATTCAAGTTCTAACTTGAGGTTTTGTTTGTTTAGATATTTGATATGGTGTTAGCGAGCTGAGTTCTGTGTATAACAGTCCTCTCGATGTATTTTGGTGTCTTCGGAAGAGGACCATGCGCGAGCGATCTCCAGAGCCAGCGGGACTTTCCAGGCAGCTTGAACCCTTGATGAAAACAGTGAATCGTGGACTCGTGAAGGCGAAGCAGTCGTGTTTCCTTTCTTAAATTCTTGTCTTCTTGTATACTCTTGCAAACCTTTTTCCCATCCGCATGGCAACGATTTTGAAGGGTGATTGAGGCTTCTTTTTGTTAACCAAATTTCGTAATTTGAGGATTTCGCTTGATCTTCCCCTACTTTTGATTCGCTGTGTAAACTATTTTAAGCTTCCCAACTTTAAAACTCGCCTCTCTTGAAGTTTAACTAACTCTGGTTTATCTTATGTTGGGAATTGACTTAAAAAAGGAATTGACTTAAAAAAAAAAAAAACCTGATTTCAAGTGAGATTAAGCATCTCTTTGTTTCTGCTTATCCTTATTCTCTTGCGAAGTATGAGAGTTCGTTCGAATGCCGTCGCTAGAGTATCACGAAGACTCGAGGGCAAAATTTTTCTATCGCCACTTTTGTAAATAACCTAACCTCGAGGGGGACAATAACTATTCACGCTCGGCATCGAGATAAACGCACAGGAAATGAAGCCAACACAATTCGGTTCGATAAGAAGATGGAGTGTTTTTCTACCTTTAAAGATTATGCAGAAGCCTTTTAAGGAGGATAGACGAGACAAAAACAGGCACACCGCGTAGTGCAGACCCGTCCTTATTCTAAATCTTGTTCATCGTAAAAATTTTTTGTTCTTTTCCTCCTTTCGGAATCCCGGGAGGAACTCCGCATTCAAATTTCTAAGTGTAGATTGAGAAATGAGTTGCGCTCGTTTAGGACTGCTGACACGATTAGCTACCCGAGGAAGAGCTGACGTGTCGGCCGACGCTGTTAGTTGGAAGAGTCGAGGCGAGCTAGTTATCGTATCTCTCGGCAGGAGCTGCTGATTGGAGATTATTCCCGACTGAATAACTGTATTAGAATTTCATTGAGAATTCTCGTCTATCTCAATCGTTGATCTCTTCGCGTATTAGAATGTGTCGTTGGGAAAGAAAGTGGACTTGGAACTCGGACTTATACCTTTCTATTTTCGGAAACCCTTAAACTTTGAAATTGTGGAATACCTGAAATATATGTTGTTTTGTTAACCCCAAAATTTTTGAAATTTGGTAAAACCATTCCTTTTTCGTAGCCTTGAATTGTAACTCCTTGTGAAAACCTGGACCAAACGCCGACCCTGCCTGGGTGTAGACACGCGAAGTAGTGGCCGAGCACGCACGACCGTGCTGAGAAACGGGAGGCTTGCGCGCGGCCGACCGTTGACTCGCATGCGAACTGCAGTCGCCGTCACCGAACGCACAAACTCCCCAGACCAGCGTGTGCGGCCAAGCCTCGACCTTACAACTGGTCTCTGAGTAGGTGGGTACGCACGCATCCCAGCGCCCCGCTTATGCAGCGCCAGCGAGCGTGCCGCCTCTTGGGTGACAGTATCCTAACCCCGAATCTTCGATTCAATTCGTTGACTGACCAATTTTTGTTGAGCTATTTATGTTACACCGAACCTTGAACCGAGAGCTCCAAGTTCCACTAAAATGTGCGTAAATCCTTAATCGATGATTTCTGATTAAGGAGCGTAGTCAATGAGCCCCTATGCTTTACTTGAGAGTTTCTCGAGTCGGCAAAATTGGGGATGTCGTGTTGCTTTGGGTCAAGCCTTATGTTTGTGCATAAGGGTTGCGTTCGACTCGTGGAGTCGAAGACAAGGGAGTGTGAGCTTGATGGTGTCGTGCTTTATGTATGTGGTATCGTGTCATAGTCTCTGATGGAGACGCACGGTCTTTGATTAAATCGTGAGCAAGTTGTCATTGTGACTCGGATGAGAGACTGAAACTTGGCGTCACGTGTCAACCCTGATGGTGAGGTAATCGGAGTATGCTGACAATACACCGAGCTACCTGTTGAGGTCTTGTGTGTTGTTAGGTACTAAACAAGTCATTGATACTCATGAGTATAGGCTAAACCGAACTGGGTCCCTTGCAAGAAGATGTACGCCTTAGCTCGGGCAGGACTGATCACCCTCTCGAGCAAGAAGGTAAACATATGAGCATGGGCGAGTCGGATTGGTTCCTGTATGTGAGTACATGCCTTTCGAGTATAAGGCGATGAGACTAATGGGAACGGAATCGAGTTCCAGAGAATGATGCTGGACCTCGTGTTTGAAAATTTCCGTTCGAGTCTGTCGTTTCCTTTTGATGCGTGTTCTTTCGCATTTTCGAGGACGGAAATATTTTAAGGAGGATAGATTATAATGCCCCGTTTAATATTTGAATTTTTGGGAATTATTTATTATTTATTCGCTTCGCTTTTATTCTAGTCATAGTGCTCGACATTTTTCACTTTTAAGCTTATTAGAATTAAATAGATGTCCTCGTCAATTTAATTTTTTCTAATTAATTCACCTAATCAAAAATCGAGATTTAAGAGGATGTCCTCGTCTTCTTAATTCTTCTTTTGTACTTTGTTGTATTAAATTTTCTCTAAGTGTCCAATTTGTTCCTTAAATTTTTAATTATCACTTTGTGCCTATATGTAGTTTTATGTCTAAATGTATTAGATGCCTAATTTGTATGTATATGCTAAGTGTGTACTCACTTTTCCCTAGTGTTTAATTATCTTCCTAAGTTTTGGTCTCTTGTGCTTCAAATATGGCTAAGCCCTAAAGCTTAACATCATTTTCGGTCCACACCTCACTTAGGCCCACGAAAACCAGCCCATCTCCCTCATTTGAGCCGAATCTCGCTTAGAACGGGTCTTCTTCGCCGAACGAACCTTCCTTTTCTCTCGGCAATCAATCCTCCACCCTCAGCGACCATGGAGCTCCTATTTCTCTCAATATTTAACGAGAATGAGTGATTAACAGATGCAAACCCTTTTATTTCCCCCAATTTCTCAAAATCTCGAGCAAAATTCCGAGAGCCAGCATTTTCCCGAGCAGGCCTAGGCCAGCGACTCTTTGATCGAGCAACCAAGAGCTCACCGACGAGTTCCATGCGCGCGGCTGAAACGAGTACCCGAGGCCAAAGAGCTTGAGTTTTCGACGACCAAAGCTTCAGTTTCCGACGACTGAAGAAATCCGGCGAGTTCCAGGCGCGGCTTATGACCACCGGACTAAGAGAGCCAGATTCCCGACATTGATGAGAGCTGACCGTGGCAGAAGAAAGCCAACGACCCTGTACGAGCGGGCCTTGCAGCGGCGAGGCGACCACCAGTATCCAACGAGATCCACGGCCGAGAGCAGACCCTTTAGTCGCGACTTAAACTCCATTTTTCCGCGGCTGGCCAAATCCGAGTTCACAGACAACTGTGGTGCCAGACCTCCGGCCATCCGACGACGAGTCGCTACCTTTGAGCTCTGACCTCGCCTGACGAGCCGCAGCCTTGTCCAAAAATCAAGGAGTTCCGAGCCGAGCAGACTTCATTCTGACTGCAGCAATCTAACAGTCACTGAACAAATTAACGAGCATCATTAGACGAATAGAGAAGAAATCGAGGGCCACCGGGCTTCCGGCAGGCTACCGAGCCAATCAAGTGACACCTGGACTGAGAGCAGCAACAAGCCGGGCCGTTCCCGAGAGCTTTAGCCTTGACCTGAGCCTCGATACGGCTTCATTTCCGACGAGCAGCAGCCATTTTGGGCCCCGTGCGAGAGCGGAGTGCCGAGAACCGCAATAGCAACCCCGTAAAACCGAGTCCTCTTTTCAGTAGGTATATTGGCTAAACCGACTCTTGAGTTTGGAGTTTGCTTGGAGATGATTTCATTCTTGATAATTGAGTTGGTTGTGATATGCAAATCGTTGGATATTGAGATTCTAATTTTGTGTATAAATTGTGAATTATTGGTGAACATCTAGTGGATCCTTGTGAATTTTGTGCTATATGCGGTATGCCTTTGTGCTGAGGTTCCTATGTGAATGATATGTAGAAAAATGAATATTATACGTTAATGAAAGAGTTGGCATGTTATGTGTAACGCCCCGCTCTAACTTAATTATCAGAGTGCGTTTATAAGACATCTTTTAAAATAGTTTGAAAAAAAAAAAGATTTGGAGCGTTACTAAAACATTTATTTTATTTTTAAAAATCCGTTACGATCGTTTAAAATTTACAACAAAAACGGATTAACATAATATACAATCCGACTATGAAATCGGAGCAAAAGTCAAAGTTTGTCAAATAAAGGCTTGCTTTGGCCCGGGGGTCAGAGTTTTTGCCCCTTATGTCAGTGAACTCATTCACTGCCCCCCGCCGGGCTGCATCGGCGTGTACCGCTCGAGTGTCCTGCTCGGCCTTTAGTTCCCGCTTCCGGGAGCTCTTAATGACATCCTTAGCGAGCTCGACATCGGCATCAGTCAGCTCGTGCCGACAGTCTTCGCCAGGTTGGTCGGTCTCATTGTCCTTTTCCGTCAACAAGGTTGGGCCGACCCGACCAGTGACGACGTGAAAGCCCTGTTTGTCTTCAAGAAGTTCGGGGACACCGGCAACTATTACAACTCAGTTGTCCCGGGTGTGGACAGGTCCTTAATCCACAAGATCCCCGAGTCACTGCACGGTTCTATGCCGAAGTGGTTCTGGGTCGGCGGCGAGTGGAGGACACCCGAAGCGGCTCGGCACCCGTCTGCTGTCTTTGCCTCGGGCACATGTGAGTCTCTTTTTTTTATTCGCTTTCGTCCCTCTGATTAGTTGTTTTTTCGTGCTAACAGGTCGGTATTTGCATTTTAGTCCATAATCCTCGCGTAGATCCGAGTGACGATCTAGTCGCAAAGGTCGAAACCCTGCTGGGACTTGCAGAGGGGAAGAGGTACTACAAGGACCTTGTTGCTGAGGAAAGTCTGGTTCTGCACGGTCTTTGTCCCGAGTATAACAGCAAGTCCTTCCAGCCCGGTATTGCCCCTTTCCTTTGATCTTTTCGTGTGTGTATATATATATACTATCGCACTTATCCTTACCCCGTCTTCTACTCTTCTTGGGCAGTATACTATCCTCTCTTGCACGAGTGAGGGTTCAGCTCGGTGAAAGAGGAAAACAAGTACGCCCGTGCTCACCCGAGCTCGCTGAAAGACCGAAAAATGGCTAGCCGTATGGACTTCTTGACGAGGCAGAGCAAAAAGAAGGCCTCGGGGTCAAGCTCGGCGGGAACCTCGGCACCCCCCCTCCCCACCGAATCCGACGGTCGAGAACGTTCTCCCGCGGGATGACGAGGTGCCATCTAGCTCGGTGCCCGCGCCCTCTGGTTCCGTGCGCGGAGGCCGAGATGGTGGTCGCGGCGGTCGGTCTGGTGCTCGCGAGGCCGGTGCCGGACGCGGTCAGGGCGCTTCCGGCCAAGGCGTTGCCACGCGGCAGAAGAGGCGCCGGCTCCTTGTGGAAGAGCCCGAGGACGCCGAGGAGGAGGTTGGAACCGAGAAGCAGAATGAGGCTCCGCCACCTCCGAAGAAGAATAAGACCGTCGAGGTCGAGAAGGCGACCCTTGCCGGTGAATCATCGGCCTTCGTCCACCAGGCCGGGTTCTCCACCTACATACCTGTGAACCCGAGCCGCCGGGCCAGCCTCGGCAAGAACCTTGAACGATTTCTCGATCAGTGGTTCATAGATGCTAGGTCGGCGGTCCCATTCGACCTGCCCAACCCCTATCATCTTCCTGGGCAGGTGATGACCGCCGCGCGGGCCGTGATGACCGCATGGACTCTGACTGTCGAGTCGGCGGTGACCATGCTCTCCCCATCCCAGCTCGTCCAACACTCAATGGCGACCATGGGCCGGCGGGCTATGGTTGAACTGGTACACGTTGTCGGGATCATGCAGCGGGAGACGGCGGCCCGCAACAAGGCCGAGGAAGACCTCACCACTTGCAAGGGCCGTATTAGCGAACTGAAAGACAAGACCAAGAGGATCTCAATGCTGGAAAACGAGCTCGTCCTTCAGCAAGGGGCTGTCGCCGTGGCGGAGAAGGCGGACGCCAAGACCGTTGAGGATTTGGCTCGCGAGAAGGCGGCATGGGCCGAGAAGGTGGCCGAGTTGGAGATGAGGCGGGCTATCGAGTTGTCGGAGGGCGAGAAGCGCCGAGCTGAGGAGGTGGTCGGGTTAGAGGAGACACACAAAGCCGACTTGGCCCACCTGGCTGAGCACACGCCGCCGAGGTCGCTGCGCTCACCAAGAAGCATGAGCAACAAGTCTCTGAGCTAGCGGACTATGGAAAGAGGATGACCTCCCAGGTCTGCCTCTTGAAAGAGGCCGCGAAGTAGATAGACGGCGAACCTATCGTTCTCCCTCTACCGGCGACCTTCGCCGAGGTCCAGGCTTAATATTTCGAGGAGATGAGGGAGAGCATGGACATGGCGGCGGCGTTAAACCTCTACTGGCTATTCCAACGGCTCGACGCCGGGGTGCTTTCTCTCGAGGACTTCCGGGCCATACTTTCCGAGAAGACAGGTGGGTATGACCTGGATTTCGAGGGCCAGATCTGCGACGTCGACGCTGACGAGGCCGCTGTGGTCTGGAGCTCCGGGGTTGGGCCGATGGCGCCATCGTCGGGTTTCAGAAGTTCGGTGCCGTCCCTTCCTCGGAAACATGGCGCCTGGCCCCCGGGGAGCTCCTCCCCGATTATGCGTGTTTTAGGCCAGAGGTTGATGCGGATCCCGGGTTTCAGCCGAGGAGGAGCGCCGTGCTGACGGTGGTGGCCGAGTTGGAAGAGGTTGAGGAGGCGGCAACGAAGGCTAGGGCGGACGTCGAGGCGGGAGTCAGCATGTCGGGGGTCGAGGAAGTGGAGGGCGCGGCCGAGGAGCAGATCGCCTTTCAAGACGCCGAGGTCGCTCCTGAGGGTTCCGGGCTCGCCTCCTAGGCCCTTTTTGATTGTTTATTCTTTTGCTTGTTTTGGATGGATGATGTTTGTGCCGATTTGGCGTTTTGTACCATGAATATTTTGACTTATTTTGAATGGATGATTGCTGAATGGGTTTTTACGTTTTTTGTTAATTCAGGCGCATTTCGTAAGTTCTTTTTAGAGTTTAGCTTGACTTATTTTAAATGATGGTTGATGTGCCGGGCTAGGCACCTGTTATTTAAATAGCCGAGCCTCGTCCTCGGGCTCGACGCTGTTTATTTATTTGGCCGAGCCTCGTGATCAAGCTCGACGCTTTTTATTTACTTTTCTGAGCCTCGTGATCGGGCTCGGCGCATTACCTGTCCGATTTTCCTGTTGAATCGGGCGATGGTTTGGCCTTGCTGAGCTTCGCGTTCAAGCTCGTCGTTCATTTCTTACGTTGGCGACTATGGCTTTACCGGGCTAGTTTGCCGAGCCCGGCTCGTGCCGACCGGACCATTGTACTGATCCGACCTGCACATAATTATGTGGCAGCTTACCGAACCAGTCTCGCTTTCGGACTCGGCGGTATTATTGGCCTGACTGGGCTTCCTAGTTGAGCCCAACTAGTGCCGACTAGGTCATCGTACTGATCCTAATCGGCGCTTCGTACCTTACGTTAATTACGCCGTTTCGATTCGATCTATACTTATCGAAAATGAATGCAGATAAATAAAAATTACATATCCTTACAAGGTTTGCCAATTTTCTTACAAAACATCATTACAAAACAAAATATCGTTACAAAAGACCGCCCTGAATCTACTGATAAAATTTCTTCAAAAATGCCGAATTCCACAGATATTGGTGGGGAGTGCCGTCCATGTGTTCAAGACGGTAGACCCCGTGCGGGAGGACTTCGCTGATTTTGTAGGGTCCTTCCCACTTCCGCTTGAGGGGTCCGGGATCGGGGCCCGTTACTCTTTTTAGCACCAAGTCACCGACCTGGTAAGAGCGTGACCTGACTTGGGAGTTGATGTATCTCTCACTCCGTCTCTTATACGCTGCATTCCTGAGCTCGGCTTGTGACCAGTGCTCATCTATGAGGTCAAGGTTCGCTCTCAGCGATTTGGAGTTGGATTCCTCTTCGAAGTTGGTTACCCGAAACGTTGGGGCGCCGAGCTCAACAGGTATCATTGCTTCGGTCCCGTAAGCCAGAGAGAACGGCGTTTCTCTGGTTGATGATCTGGCTGTGGTGCGGTACGACCAGAGAACGTTTGGGAGTTCTTCTGGCCAGGCCCCATTTGCGGCTTCAAGTCGGAACCTGGCCATTTGATTGGGGATGGTAGGGTGTCGAGAAGAAATGTTTTATGTCGTGTTCTTCGCAAAATGTCTCAAATTTCTTCCCCTCAAATTGCTTCCCGTTGTCGGTGATTATCGAGTTTGGCACTCCGAATCGGCATATAATTGACTTCCATAGGAACTCGATCATCCTTTGCTCGGTGATGTTAGCAAATGGCTCGGCTACTGCCCATTTATGAAGTAATCCACGGCGACGACCGCGTACTTCACTCCGCCCTTTCCGGTGGGTAAGGGGCCGATCAGGTCGACGCCCCATTCGGCGAATGGCCATGGACTGAAGATTGAGTTCAAGGGTTGGGAAGGTTGGATGGTGTTCGGTGCGAGAGTTTGGCATTTTGCACATCTCCGGGCCAGGTCCAGGGCGTCCTTCTTCAGGCTAGGCCAGTAATATCCTTGCCTGAGGACCTTGTGGGCGAGGGCGTACCCGCCGGAGTGGTTTCCGCAGACGCCCTCGTGAATCTCTTTGAGAATGTACTCGGCGCCCTTCTCGTCTACTCATTTGAGCAGATGTGCCGAATATCCCCTCTTGAACAGTTCACCGGCCATGATCATAAACCGAGCTGCCCGGGTACGGAGCTGTCTGGCCTCTTTTGGGTCAGGCGGCAATGCACCGGTCTAGAGATACGACTGGATCGGTACTGTCCAGCTCGGTTCCTCGTCTTCGGAGGCCTGACCGGTGCTTAGGACGG